GGTTCTCCAGCCAAGTTCTGTCCAGGATCTGCAGCCAGGTTCTGTCCAGGATCTTTTGCCATGTTCTCTCTCTAGGTTCTGTCTCTAGGTTCTGTCCCCCCTGCTATTTTAATCTCTGATGCATTCCCTGTAAATACAGTAACTTTACTGGCTCTCCAGCCGCCGCCGCCGCCAGCCGCCCCTGCCCTTGCCTCCAGTGCACATTAAAGAGCCAACACCATGACTGACTCCAGGTACTTCACAACCAATAAAAAAGGAGAAATCTTTGAATTAAAGGCTGAACTCAACAATGAAAAGAAAGAAAAGCGGAAGGAGGCTGTGAAGAAAGTGATTGCTGCTATGACTGTGGGGAAGGATGTCAGCTCTCTCTTTCCAGATGTAGTGAACTGTATGCAGACTGACAACCTGGAACTAAAGAAGCTGGTGTATCTCTACTTGATGAACTATGCCAAGAGTCAGCCAGACATGGCCATTATGGCTGTCAACAGCTTTGTGAAGGACTGTGAAGATCCCAATCCTCTGATTTGGGCCTTGGCAGTTAGAACCATGGGATGCATCCGAGTGGACAAGATCGCATAATATCTCTGTGAGCCCCTCCGAAAGTGCTTGAAGGATGAAGATCCCTATGTTCGGAAAACAGCAGCAGTCTGTGTGGCAAAACTCCATGATATCAATGCCCAAATGGTGGAAGATCAGGGATTTCTGGATTCTCTGTGGGATCTCATAGCAGATTCAAATCCAATGGTGGTGGCTAATGCTGTAGCAGCATTATCTGAAATCAGTGAATCTCACCCAAACAGCAACTTACTCGATCTGAACCCACAGAACATTAATAAGCTGCTGACAGCCCTGAATGAGTGTACTGAATGGGGCCAGATTTTCATCCTGGACTGCCTGTCCAATTACAACCCTAAAGATGACCGGGAGGCTCAGAGCATCTGTGAGCGGGTAACTCCCCGGCTATCTCATGCCAACTCAGCAGTGGTGCTTTCAGCAGTAAAAGTCCTAATGAAATTTCCAGAGTTGTTACCGAAGGACTCTGACTACTATAATATGCTGCTGAAGAAGTTGGCCCCTCCACTTGTCACTTTGCTGTCTGGGGAGCCAGAGGTGCAGTATGTCGCCCTGAGGAACATCAACCTAATTGTTCAAAAAAGGCCTGAAATCTTAAAGCAGGAAATCAAAGTCTCCTTTGTGAAGTATAATGATCCCATATATGTTAAACTAGAGAAGCTGGTCATCATGATTCGTTTGGCATCTCAAGCCAATATTGCTCAGGTTCTGGCAGAGCTGAAGAAATATGCCACGGAGGTGGATGCTGACTTTGTTTGCAAAGCTGTGCGGGCCATTGGACGGTGTGCCATCAAGGTGGAGCAATCTGCAGAACGTTGTGTGAGCACATTGCTTGATCTCATCCAAACCAAAGTAAATTATGTGGTCCAAGAGGCGAGAGTTGTCATCAGGGACATCTTCCGCAAGTATCCCAACAAGTATGAAAGCATCATTGCCACTCTGTGTGAGAACTTACACTCGCTGGATGAGCCAGATGTGTGAGCAGCTATGATTTGGATTGTGGGCGAATATGCTGAACGAATTGACAATGCAGATGAATTACTAGAGAGCTTCCTGGAGGGTTTTCATGATGAGAGCACCCAGGTGCAGCTCACTCTGCTTACTGCCATAGTGAAGCTGTTTCTCAAGAAACCATCAGAAACACAGGAGCTGGTACAGCAGGTCTTGAGTTTGGCAATACAGGATTCTGATAATCCTGACCTTTGAGATAGGGGCTATATTTATTGGCAGCTTCTCTCAACCGACCCTGTCACAGCCAAAGAAGTAGTCTTGTCTGAGAAGCCACTGATCTCTGAGGAGACAGATCTTATTGAGCCAACTCTGCTGGATGAGCTAATCTGCCACATTGGTTCTTTGGCCTCTGTGTACCACAAGCCTCCCAATGCCTTTTGTGGAAGGAAGTCACGGAATCCATCGCAAACACTTGCCAATACATCATGGGAGCACTGATGCAGGTGACAGCCCTGTTGGCACCGCCACTGCCACCAACCTGGAACAGACTCATGTTATTCCCTCTCAAGGTGACCTTCTAGGGGACCTTTTAAACCTTGATCTCGGTCCACCAGTCAATGTGCCACAGGTATCCTCCATGCAGATGGGAGCAGTGGATCTCTTGGGAGGAGGACTAGATAGTCTGGTGGGACAATCCTTCATTCCATCATCAGTGCCTGCAACCTTTGCTCCTTCACCTACTCTTGCTGTGGTCAGCAGTTGTCTGAATGATCTATTTGAACTCTCTATGGGGATAGGCATGGCACATGGTGGATATGTGGCTCCTAAGGCTGTCTGGCTGCCTGCAGTAAAGGCCAAAGGCTTGGAGATTTCTGAAACATTTACTCATTGTCAGGGGCACATCTATATGGAAATGAACTTCACCAACAAAGCTCTGCAGCATATGACAGACTTTGCAATCTAGTTTAACAAGAATAGCTTTGGCGTCATCCCCAGCACTCCTCTGGCCATCCATATACCACAGATGCCAAATCAGAGCATTGATGTCTCCCTGCCTCTCAACACCTTGGGTCCAGTCATGAAGATGGAACCTCTGAATAACCTACAGGTAGCTGTGAAAAACAATATTGATGTCTTCTACTTCAGCTGCCTCATCCCACTCAATGTGCTTTTTGTAGAAGATGGCAAAATGGAGCGCCAGGTCTTTCTTGCAACATGGAAGGATATTCCCAATGAAAATGAACTTCAGTTTCAGATTAAGGAATGTCATTTAAATGCTGACACTGTTTCCAGCAAGTTGCAAAACAACAAGAGGAATTGCCAAGAGGAATGTGGAAGGGCAGGACATGCGGTACCAATCTCTGAAGCTCACTAATGGCATTTGGATCTTGGCTGAGCTATGTATCCAGCATGGAAACCCCAATTATACACTGTTGCTGAAGTGTAGAGCTCCTGAAGTCTCTCAGTACATCTATCAGGTCTACAACAGCATTTTGAAAAACTAATAGACTGCTCTGGTGCCCTCCGGCCACCCTGTGATCGGTGCAAGCCAAGAACTCTTAACTAGAAGAAATTGTTTGGCCGTGTAGAAGCTGAACTTAAATACACTGAGGCCACCCCCCCCCCAAAAAAATACAGTAACTTTACTGATTTCTGAAATGAATGGGTGTGGCAAACTAAGAACACTAGCAAATGGTTCCACTTTTTCTTCTTCCCCAGTGCCATATCCAGTCTCACATCAAGATAAACACCTTGCTGTCTGACCAGTGTGGCTCAGTGGTTGAGCATCAACCTATGAACTAGGAGGTCAGGGTTCAATTGCTAGTCAAGGCACATGCCCCAGTTGTGGGCTTGATCCCCTGTGGGGGGCAGGCAGGAGGCAGCCGATCAATGATTCTCTCTCATCATTGGTGTTTCTATCTCTCTCCCTCTCCCTTCCTTTCTGAAATCAATAAACAAATATATTTTTTTTAAAAAGATAAACACCTTGCTTTGGATTCATCAAGTCCAGAATTTGAAATTTCTTAAGTAAATGAATAACTTTATCTTCTATATCTGCCTTGGATATAAGTGTTTTAAGTAGACATCATCCTCAGATTTGCTTTCCATAAAGGGGTATGACTTTATTTTTTCTATTTCATCTTTGTTTTTATTTGATGCTTTTTCTTTGGCACCTTTTTTTGTTTTCTTTCCAGGCTTCCTAACAGGAGTAAAATATCTGTTAGTCACCTGAACACATGCAGAACAAGAATAAAGAGGCGTCTGATAAACCATCTTAGAGAGACTATGCCTTTGAAATATCAAGACTCTACCAAGGGGTCTGCCAGCCGGTCCGTGTTGGCCGTTCCGGATCTAGCCGTCTTCATCTTAACATTTGTCCTTCTATAATATTTTAATTTTCCCTAGAGGATACCATAAAACATGATGATGATGATGATGATGATGATGATAATAATAATATCATTGTGAAACTTGAGTCACTTCCAAAGCTGTCCATGTTTGATTTTCTGAAACTAAACAGTCATGCTTGTGAACTCTCTGTGCATTTCTGATGGTTTGTCTTAAATTTGATGGCAACTTTTTAAATTTGAAAAATTAACAAATTTTATATTTCAAAATTCATATAAGACCTGTCCTAAAGAATCCCCCCCCCCCCCCAAATAACAATAATAACAACTTTTCTTTATTCAGCACCTCCTACGGGGCCAGATATATATTTTCCTCTTGTGCTTACCTGGTTAATTGAAGTGCAAAACTAATTTCAGTGAGATAAAATAATTTCTTCCCTTTTCACTCAAGTTGGTTTTTACAGAGAGAGGAAGGAAGAGGGAGAGAGAGAAACATCCATGTGAGAGCAGAACATCAATTGGCTGCCTCTGCATGCACCTTACTAGGCATGGAGCTCGAAACCTAGGCATGTGCCCTGACCAGGAATCAAACCAGCAATCTTTCGATGCATGGGATGACGTCCAACCAACTGAGCCACACCAGCCAGGGCTCAAGATATATTTTTGATTCAACAGTTACACCTCCGTCCTAGCTCTGGGATTTACCTAAAGAACAAAGTATATTCTATGTTCACTTATCCTTCTGATACATATCACAAAATCTGCTATCTTTGGTTCCTTTGTTTAAATTCAAAACTAATTCCTCAAAACGATGTTAAGGAGGAAATCATAGCATTAGGTCTCAAAAGATAAGTCCTTTCTTTTCATCTATGGTTTAATTCCAAAGAATTTCAAATAAGTGTCCTTTTAACTTTAATTGGCAGTAGGAAGAGCCTGGTGCCTGGAAAGAAAAAGGATGTCCTTCAGGAGGGAAAAAGTTGAAATAAGATACATGACTACTTTTATGTGTCACTAAAGACCTGATAACATTGGAGTGATATTCTGTGAAAATGAAAATAGATATTTGGAAAATCAGCCATTGTATTAATCTGTTTTTATTAAAGTAGAATATATTTGATTGTTTACAGGACGAAATTAGAAAATAATCACATTTTTTGGAATGTAAAATTTCACCATTTATACAATTTTAATGTATTATTTGTATGGATTGATCGGGGTACTATGCTTAGTAGTGACTGCTCCTGGAGTGGTTGACAAAAATGATTAATGTTTACTCTTCAGTCCTGTTTAATCTAAATCATTTCCATTTCCTTCTGAAATATCTGACATCTAAAAATGAAAGGGAAAAAATGTTAAGTTTTCAGGAAAGATAGGAATTCAGTGACAGAACAAACAGAGATTCTTGATTACATATGGAATTCTTATTCCATAAATAGCTCGTTCCTGATTACATATGAAAAGTGGTACAAGGAAAGCCTATGGGATAGATGGCCGTAACAAATAATACCAATACTATATTTTAATCATATTTTGTTTGTTTCAACCTTTCTCCATTTAAGGGACATGATAAGGAACAAAGCTGGTTGCGTTTCATCTTCCTTGGTTTGGTTGCCAGCTGACAGAATGAAGGAAAAGGAATAGAAGTAAGAATCTAAATACTCCATGAAGTGACTCACCAGCACAATATAACCAAGAGTTGGTAGTATTAAGGTGTCCTTGTAACTATTGCAATAGTTGGGTCTCAATGGGGCACAAAGAGTGAAGACCTTTGTCCTCTCCCTCACAGAGCTATGTCACAAATAGGCCATGGTATTTATGAATACACTAGATCCTGGTGCAGGGATTCGTGCACATTGAAAGTAAATTAATTAGAAGGTGGCCAGCGGGGGAGGACTGGCATGGCCTGGAGCCAACCTCTCATGGTCTTTCTCCAGCCAGCCACACCTGGGGTGGCACTAGGGCTCCAAGGGCATTTGTGGAGTGAGCTGGGTCCCTCTGGCAAGTGGGGTCCCTCATCCTGGCCTGCGGGGATCAGGCTGAAACCGGCAGTCCGACAACCCCCAAGGGGTCCTGGAGTGCGAGAGGGCACTCTGCAAAGTTGCAGTCGCTTGGCAGCTCCTGCGTTGAGCATCTGCCCCCTGGTGATCATTGCACATTATAGCTACCAGCCAGGCAGCTGGTTGGTGGGTAGCTTAGCCTTTTATATATGTAGATGTCCACTGCCTGGGGCAGGACAGGGGCAGCAGCAGCTGCTGTATCTTCTATTAGTAATTACTCCAGAAAGGGTACTTTTGGTCCTAGGTCTACAAGCAAGTCTAATATTCACTCCCATTTAGTACCTATTATGACATTGGTGCTTGGGGATACCAAAATAAATATGAGACAATCCCTGCACTAAAAGAGTTCTAGTCAATTCAAAGAACATGCAAGAAGAGAACTAGTGAAATGTTATAAGTGCTATTGCATCAAAGGGTACGGTGTGGAAACATGGGAGGAAGTATCAGGTTGACAGGGCAGAGGATGGAGCTTGAGCTGGTAGTGGGAAATGAAGTAAGGAGGAGGAAAGGAGTCATTGGGAAGATTCTAGGTAGGGGGAACTGCATGGGCAATCACAAGAAAGCATAAAAATAACATAGCATATTTAGAAAATTTCAAATGATTATATAGGGTTGCTGTGTATGGTGACAAGGAGCAGTGACTGAGCAGATTGGATAGCAGGGTTGGGCAAACTTATTGACTCGAGGGCCACAATGGGTTCTTAAGCTGGACCGGAGGGCCGGAACAAAAGTATGGATGGAGTGCTTGTGTGAACTAATATAAATTCAAAGTAAACATCATTACATAAAAGGGTACGGTCTTTTTTTTTTTTAGTTTTATTCATTTCAAATGGGCCGGATCCAGCCCGCGGGCCGTAGTTTGCCCACAGCTGGGTTAGACCATAGAGGACCTTATGTGCCAAGCTAAAGAGACTGGATTTGATCCTGAATGCAACTGAGAACTACTGGAGAGCTTATGTAGGGGAAAAGCATAATCACTTTATCTACTCTGTGGAAGACAGGAGGAGAGCAAAACTGGAGGCAGAAACACAATTAGAAGATGACTGTGGGAGGGCAGAAAAGAAATGATGAGGGCTTGACATGAAGCAGTAGCTGTGGGATGAAGTTAAGAGGACCAATACAAAGAAAGGTCCAGAGAGAGGGGCTTCTAATTATAAGACAAACTATGATTAGAGGCCAAAGAGGCCCTCATCTGAGGATAGAGTGGAAAGCTAAGGTGAACATTACTGAAAGGTAACTTCAGGAACTGATGATTAATCTTGTGTGATTATCAAATTACATGGAAATATAACATCTTATCTAATAAAATAGAAACATGCAAATTGACCATACCTCTGCTACACTCACAAGCCACACCCACAAGCCAATCAGAGCGACTATATGCAAATTAACCCAACCAAGATGGCGGCCCAGCAGCCATGGAGCTGGAGCAAGCAGGAGGCTTGGTTGCCCCGGCAATGGAGGAAGCCAAGCTTTCTGCCTGCCCTGGCCAGCTGTTGCCTCTGCTTAAAGCAACAAAGTTTCAATTATAGAAGATAAACAAATCCCAGATACCCGGTTCCAGCCAGCCTCCACTGGGAGCTGGAGTGGCTGGGGGCTGTGGCCAGCCTGCAAACAACCATCAGCCCCTCACCCAGGATGGCCACACCCATGGGGTGAGGGTCCCTGCTGGGGGGCTCGGCCAGCCTGCAAACAGCCATCAGTCACTCATCCAGGCTGGCCACACCCTCATGGGGTGAGGGTCCTCACTGGGGGCTTGGCCAGCCTGCAGACAGCCATCAGCTCTTCACCCAGACTGGCCAGGCACCCCAGCAGGACCTCCACCCTGAAGGGGGTGTGGCCAGCCTGCAAACAGCCATCAGCCCCTCACCCAGGATGGCCAGGCACCCCAGCAGGAACCCTCACCCGGAAGGGGCTGTGGCCAGCCTGCAAACAGCCATCAGCCCCTCACCCAGGCTGGCCAGGCACTCCAGTGGGGACCCCCACTCTGAAGGGGTTGTGGCCAGTCTGAAAACAGCCCTCAGCTCCTCACCAGGCTGGCCAGGCACCCCAGCGGGACCCCCACCCTGATCTGGGACACCCTTCAGGGAAAACCAGCCAGCCCCCACCCATGCACCAGGCCTCTATCCTATATAATAAAAGAGTAATATGCAAATTGACCTTAACAGCAGAACGACTGGGAATGACTGGTTACTATGACACACACTGACCACCAGGGGGCAGATGCTCAATGCAGGAGCTGTCCCCTGGTGGTCAGTGCTCTCCCACAGGGGAGCTCTGCTCAGCCACAAGCCAGGCTGACGGCTGCCAGTACAGCGATGGTGTTGGGAGCCTCTCCTGCCTCCTCAGCAGCGCTAAGAATGTCCGACTGCAGCTTAGGCCTGCTCCCCGCTGGCAAGTGGACATCCCTGAGGGCTCTCGGGCTGCCAGAGGGATGTCTGACTACCAGCTTAGGCCCAATCCCTGGGGAGCGGCCTAAGCCAGCAGGTGGTCATTCACCCGAGGGGTCCCAGACTGTGAGAGGGCACAGGCTGGGCTGAGGGACCCCCCCGAGTGCACACATTTTTGTGCACCGGGCCTCTAGTTCTTTATAATGATCATCAATATGACCTACCTCAGGCATGGATTTTAGATGATTTTCTAATCTTCTTGGTCTGTAGGAAATAGAAAGAGAATAATGAGAGAGAGAGAGAGAGAGAGAGAGAGAGAGAGAGAGAGAGAGAGAGAGAAATGGTGTGGAGAACTAAAAATAATGAACCAAGTATGCTGTTATTTAACATATTCTTTCCCTCACTCAAGGAGAAACTGTCATTTAGGATAGAATTATAAGACCCTAAAAGATTAAGCTAAAGATTTTCAGTATGTAATATATGGATCATTCTCAATGTAATTAAGTAAATATGTTGAGTCACAATCTCATTAAATTTTAACACTCTCATAGATTTGCTTAGGATAAAATTTTGGCTATGATTTGAAAACCTAAGAAATTTCCTTGAAAGTGATTAAGAACTAGAAGCAAAAATAAGAGGTATGAGACTATTAAAGTGCCCATTTTTTCCCCCTGTTTCCCACTGTTTCCTCTACTGAAGACAATTGGCAAAAGCAGCATCATAATTTTGAGATGACGCAGTAGTGCAAAACATGTTCCCGTGCTGAGTTCAGTGAGGCCAATTGGCCAGTGAAAGGCTTCATGAACAGTGGTGGCTGAAGGCTGGTGTAAGTCTTAAGTTTTCTAAAAAAGAGCCTTGAGAGCTCTTCTCCCCTCACCTCCTTGCTTCAAGGCCAAGCTAAGTCTATACATATGGGCCTCAAATTTGTTGTAAAAATAGGCCACATGTTATTTATACAGTAAGCAAATATATGAACTAGTGAAAAGTGTAAAAATTTATATACAAATTTTCTTATTTTAAAATAATTCTGGAAAAACATATTTCACAATTTCTCTCAGCAACTCAGAAGAGATATATGCAGCTTAAATTAGCAATTACTGAACAGCTGTAATATACCAGGCATCAGATCTTATCTTTCATATTAAGAAAAAATAAATTGTTGTTAATCTATCAGTTGGCAAATATAATACAAATCTGCTAAGGAGTTTTAATTTTTAAAAAAAATATATTTTATTGATTTTTTACAGAGAGGAAGGGAGAGGGATAGAGCGTTAGAAACATCCATGAGAGAGAAACATCCATCAGCTGCCTCCTGCACACCCCCTACTGGGGATGTGCCCACAACCAAGGTACATGCCCTTGACCGGAACTGAACCTGGGACTCTTCAGTCCACAGGCCAACGCTCTAGCCACTGAGCCAAACTGGTCAGGGCAGGAGTTTTGATTTTTAAAACATAGTTGTATTTGCAAACGGTAAGCTGAGCAAACATGACATATAATCAAAATGCACATTTAATGTCTGCCTCCTCCTCCTGCTTTAGACTTTTGCCACTCAGGGAAGGAGCTTTTCCTTTGCCATTGGCTGACTACACAGCAGGCCCAAAGAGTTTTTATTCACTTTAAGGCAGTGGTTCTCAACCTTCCTAATGCCTCGGCCCTTTAATACAGTTCCTCATGTTGTGGTGACCCTCAATTTCATTGTTACAAATTGAACATAATTAAAGCATAGTGATTAATCACAAAACAATATGTAATTATATATGTGTTTTCCAATGGCCTTAGGTGACCCCTGTGAAAGGGTCGTTCGACCCCCAAAGGGGTCGCGACCCACAGGTTGAGAATCGCTGCTTTAAGGTAACAGTCAATCCTCACTGTGAGGCAAAAACACAGTCTCAATTCAGTAGGCATATTATCCAGTCTTAAATAGTAATCAATCCTTTAACCTTCTTTCAAAAGTAGGACTTCTCCTCCACCTCTCTCAGCTACGGCTTCAGTTGGTGGACCCCATCTACCCTTGGAGGCCAATTTCTGCTCTCTTTGCTCACAACTTCCTCCATTTTCAGCAGAAGAGTTGGGATATAGGCTGTAGGACATTCTTACTTGGCTGAGTGATTACACAATCTCTGGGCTTGGCAAATGGCTAAAGCTGATTCTCTCTCTTCAAAGCTTGCCTTTGCTAAGGATCTCTGTCCTACAGTTAGGGGCAGAAATAGAATAGTGGGGACTAGCTATAGTTCTAAGAAATATTAAACATACTCTGTTAACTGTGACTGTTCTATTCTGATTAGAGAAAGCACATCTGACCTGGCTGAGAATTGTATGCCCCAGGACATGGGAGTTAACCTGGGAATGTGATCCATTCACTTTTTCCTAGAGCTGCCGATCATCATGGAAAGATTAACAATCTTGTTGCTGAAACAGTCTGGTCCTGAAGGTGCCCGCTCTTTGCGACCCTCAACCCACATTGCCTGTAACCTGTAACCATTGTACCTTGCCTACTTCCCCATGCCTGTAATTCCTCCTTTCCCATGTAATCTTTGTTCTTCTACCCAATATAAGCAGCTGGTTTATGGGGGTAAGGGGAAGAGCAGATTTTCGTGGATGACCTGCTGCTCTCCCATACTGCTGGCATTTCTGGAATAAACGCTCATACATGATTCAACCCTGTCTCTGCTTAATTGGCTCAAGTAGTGACAATTAAGTAGCCCTGACCCATTCGTTATCCGGTTTCACTGCAAGTCCCTTGACCCAGGCTTATGCATCTCTCATCTGGTGGTCACTTGATATTTCTTCATCAGCCCCGAAGAATTGTGTGTTCCCTTTCAGCTTCTTGCTGCTGATACCCCTCCAGACAGCCTTGAGCAGAGCCCACAACAACTCAACTCTCACTTGCATGGTTCTTAAGAAACTATTGCATACATCCTTTGGGCTCATCACAATCTCAGGGAGATTAGGCCACCCCCAACACAGCCCCTCTGTCCTTGCACTGCCACAGCTGCTTTATTTAGCTTTCTCGGGCATGAGTGAGTCACTGATCCTGGTTCCCAACTCTTAGGAAAAGCATTTCTTTCCAAGCTCTTTAGGTGATCTCCTGAAACCCCTTCACAAGCCTTTAGGGAAAAGAGGTACAATTACTTAGGGGTAGTGGGAGCTCACAATCTGACAGAGTCAAAGGAATCTCTTCTCTCATCTTCTTCACCCTCCACACTTTTTATATATGTTGGATCTGGCCAAGGAATATGAATCATGAAACAAATTCTCTGAAATTTCCTACAGAACCCTTGCACATGGGGAAAACTCATTCTCATTTTGGGAACTAGTAAATGTTTTATTAGTACCTCAGGAATTAGGCCAGGAAGAGTCTGATTTTAAAATCCTACTATGATCTTAACCCCATTAGGTTTGCAAATATACCTTGTAGCATCAAATACTGGAAGATTATAAGAGTTAACATTAGTGTAAGAAAATCTGGTCATGAAATCCGTTCTGCTATACATTTATAGCAGGGTAAGCTGTTTTATTAGACAAAATCTTAACTCATAATCTTTATAGTACCTTCCTTAGAAATGATCTGAAATTCCATGAGGGCAGGGAACCTGGCTTTCTAATTCAGATCCTACAAAAAACATTTATCAGGCAACTGTTTTATGCCAGGCAAAAAAAACTAACCCCCAAAACAAGCACTTTCATAGACTATATTTTTAATCTTTTTAAAAAAGATTTTTTAAAAGCTTTTAAAATTTTATTACTTATTATTATACATATATATTTTATTATACATATATCCTAAAGTGAAAGACATTATTTATAAAAAGAAAAAAATTACCTTGGTTTTCTGGTTATATTTTTGGGCCTTGTAATTAGACCTTCCAAATGTTTATTTCTCTCTTCTAAACTGGAAAAAGAAACAATTAAAATTTGACTAAAATTGATTTTTCTAAACTAATATTTTGTAGATTCATTGGAGGGTTTGAGTATATAAATTCAAATGTGATCTAGCTGTCTCCACATCCATCCATCTCACTATATGGGTAATTGGGATTCTTTCCTAGCAACTCACATTATTTAATCAGTTTTTCTCTTTATAGGTACCAGTGGTGATGAAGGAGAGCAGACAGCAGTAAACCTATAAAGTGACATTCAGATATTCTTCTCTTTACAGGGTGGGTCAAGAATCGATTATTCTGTATGAGTAAACCCAACATGATCTTGGCGGCAACCTGTTAACAAAACCCCTGAGCTGTGAACTGCTTTGACATGGGGAAATGTGTAAGAGTGTTACAGGAAGAATCACAGCATTCAAGTGGCCTATAAGACATTTACTTGTGTTCTGTTTCTATGGCTTTTACTAAAAGAGGTAAGTAGTTGGTTCCCTTGTGCCCCTAGGAGGGAAAATTCAATTAAGATAGTCTCTCCCAAACTCACATTCCCATCCAGGGAGAGTGTATTAGTTCCCTATGACTGCTGTAAGAACAGACTTGGTGGCTTCAAACAACACACATATGTTCTCCCACCATCTGGAGGTCAGAAATCTGAAGTCAGTTTTACTGGGTTGAAATCAAGGTGTCTGCATGGAAATGTCCCTCTGGAGGCTCTAGAGTTGGATTCTTTGCCTTGCTTTTTCCATTTCTGGAGGCTGTCCTCATTTCTGATCTCATGGCCCTTCATTGCATCTCCTTTTCTCCCCTTGCTTCCATGGCCACATTGCTTTTTTCTATCATCAAATTTATTTCTGCCTCCCTCTTGTAAGAACAATTGTGATTGCATTTAGAGCCTGAGTGGACAATCCAGGATAATCTCTCCATATCAAGATCCTTAACTTAGCCCTAGCCAGTTTGACTCATGGGATAGAGCATGAGGACTGAAGGGTCCTGGGTTTGATTCTAGTCAAAGGCATATGCCCGGGTTGTGGGCTCAATCCCCAGTAGGGGGTATGCAGGAGGCAGCCTATCAATAATTCTCTCTCATCATTGATGTTTCTATCTCTCTCTCCCTCTCCCTTCCTCTCTAAAATCAATTTTTTAAAAAAGTCAACCTTAAAAAAAATCTTGAATTTAATCAATTTACAAAGTCTCTTTTGTCATGTAATGGAACAGTAGCAGGTGCCAGATATTAGGATTTGGATATCTTTTGGGGCTATTATTCAGCCTGCCATAGAGGGTAAACAGACCCTGGGGAACAGAAAATTCTATTGCAAGGGTTATAACCTCAAATGCTTATGGGAAAGTCAGGCAAGTATGTGACTAAAGCCAGATAAATGTGGATTAGGACAAACCAGGGATCAGATCTTGCCAAAGGTTGCCATATGGGAATGTTGCAGCAATGATGTCAGGTCTTATTTTTAAATATATTTTTATTTATCTGTTTCTAAAATCCAAGGCAGATTGTGAAGATGGTGGTGTAGGTAAACGCTGGCACTTGCTGCCTCCCACAACCACATCAAAATTATAACTAAAATACAGAACAACCATCATTCAGAACCACCTGAAATCTGGTTGAATAGAAGTCCTACAACTAGAGCAGAAAGTGCATTGAGACTGGTAGAAGGAGCAGAGGCACAGAATGGGCTGGTCTAACACCCTTGTTTGGCATTTCTTTAGCTGGGAGGGATATCTCTAAGGCCTCCCATAAGAAGCAGGGGTTCCCAGTCCACACCAGACCTCCAGCCCAGGGTTCAGAACTGGGAAGAAAAGTCTCCAAAACTTCGGGTTGTAAACACCAGCAGGGATTTTGGCTGAGTGAGTGACATGGGAGGCTGCTGGAGTCTCAGGTATTCTTTTTAAAGGCCCACATGTGAACTTACATGGTCCTACTTTCTCAGAGTTCCAGTGCCGTGCAGTGGCTTTGGGGGAATTCAGGGACATATGGGGAGGAACTAGACTGTCTGGCATCAGGGAAGGAACTCAGAGGCAGCTTTCTCCTAGACAGGGGTGCTTGCAAGGGTCATTGTTCCTATGCTGGGACCTCCCCTGTCACAGGGCTGACTGGCAGCCATATCTGAGTTTCCATCAGCATGGTCCACACTGTTCACTCGGCCCTGAGACCCCACTCCATTCAATTTGCAGCCTCACCCAAGCTGTTTTCAGCCTCTTTTCCATATGAATGGCCTGTCCTGGCTCAGACTGCAGACTTTGCTAAAATCTCTTAAACAAGTAGCAGCTGGAGGCAACATACCCCAAACCTATCAAAAAAAGGCCCAAGACCCAGCACTAGCACCAGTATGCCTTGCTTCACAGATGGGCCTCACCTGGGTACTTCCTAGCCCAATACAAATAGCAGTCATCTGCAGATCTAGCTGTAGCTCCTGTTCAGTGGCCCCAGGCAGTGGCTGACTTTGCACCTCCTGGGAGGTCCCAGAGTTAGTAAACCTGGTGGACAACTTCAGACCATACCAGATTATAACTCTACACATCCACAAGTGACACACTCAAGGGGCAGACTCAGTGAACACCAAAGCCCTGCTCCATAGGAATGTCTCCTGCACAGCAGCTCTTCCATTGTAGACACAACTGCTCTGCACAGTCAATTGGCCTGGAGATCAATTACTCCCAGTGACACCAACAGCAATCAAGGCTCAACAAGACTCTGCACAAAGCCAACACAGGGACACACCGAAAGTGCCCAGCTCAGGTGACTGGGGAGGCTGAGCCACTAGGCCCTACAGGATACCTATTACACAAGGACACTCTACCAATTCCAGGAGCCATGAAAGCTCTATCTAACACATAGAAACAAACATAGGGAAGCAGTCAAAATGCAGAGACAAAGAAACATGTTACAAATGAAAGAAATGGAAGTAAGCAAGCTACTGGATACAGAGTTCAAATATATGCTTATAAGGTTACTCGGGATATTAATGAGAGCTTCAAGAGGCTTCATGAGAGCTTCAAGGGACTTAGTGAGACTTTCAAGGATCTGAGTGAGAATGTCAAAGACATAATAAAAGAGCAGTCAGAAATTAAGCATACACTAAGTGAAATAAAGATTTACAGGGATTCATCAGTAGAGTAGAGGCTTCTGAGACTCAACCAATGATTTGGGATATGAGGAAGCAAAAAATACCCAATCAGAAGAGCAAAAAGAAAAAAGAATCCAAAAATATGAAGATAGTGTAAGGAACCTCTGGGACAACTTCAAGCACGACAACATTCACATTATGGGGGTGCCAGAAAAAGAAGAAAGAGAGCAAGATAATTAAAAACCTATTTGAAGAAATAATGAGAGAAAACTTCCCTAACTTGGTGAAAGAAATAGACTTAAAAGTCCAGGAAGCACAGAGAATCACAAACAAGAAGGACCCAAAGAGGCCCACAATGAAAATGCCAAGTGTTAACGACAAAGAGAGAATCTTAAAAGAAGCAAGAGGAAAGCAGTTAGTTATAAGGAAGCACCCATATGACTGTCAGCTGATTTCTCAACAGAAACTTTGCAGGCCAGAGGGAGTGGCAAGAAATATTCAAAGTGATAAATAACAAGGACCTACAACCAAGATTACTCTACCTATAAAATCTATCATTTATAATTGAAGGTCAGATAAAGAGCTTCACAGACAAGAAAAAGCTAACGGAGTTCATCACCACCAAACTAGTACTATATGAAATGTTGAAGAGCATTCTAGAAGAAGAAGAAGAAGAAAAAGAAGAAGAAGAAGAAGAAGAAGAAAATGGCAATCAATACATATCTATCAACAACTGAATCTAAAAATAAAAATAAACAACTGAATCTAAAAATAAAAATAAATGAACAAAATAAACTGATGAATAAAATAGAATCAGAGTCATGGAAACATAGAACAGAGAGGGGGCGGGAAGAGATTAACTAAAGATTATATATATATATATATATATATATATATATATATATATATAACCTATGGACACAGACAATAGGGTGGTGAAGAGTGGGGGGGGCACAGGGGCAAGTTAGAAGTGGTCAATGGGCAGAAAAAGGGGACATATATATTACTTTCAACAATAAAGATTTAATTTTTTTTAAAAAACACATCAATGTGAGAGAGACACATCGACTGGTTGCCTCCTGCATGTGCCTGGACTGGGGCTAGGAATCGAACCCACAACCCTTCAGTTCGTGGGTGACACTCTAACCATTGAGCAAAACCAGCCAGGTCACGGGGATGCTTAAGCTCTAGAGATAACCAGCACAGTATAGATGAAATTGAAGGAAGGATTGAGGAAAAACATATGAGAAATGAGGGTAATAAGTAAGTGGAAAAACTTTGCAGAATTTAAAAACAACAATTCAGGCCCGGCCAGCATGGCTCAGTGGTTGAGCGTCGACCTATGAATCAGGAGGTCCAGGTTTGATTCCCAGTCAGGGCACATGCCTGGGTTGCAGGCTTGATCCCCAGTGTGGGGCATGCAGGAGACAGCCAATCAATGATTCTCTCTCATCATTGATGTTTCTACCTCTCTCTCCCTCTCCCTTCCTCTCTGAAATCAATAAAAATATATTATAAAAAACATACACCACCAATTTAGGAGTGTTTTAGCTAAATCTCCTTCTAATGAGAAAGTTTATTTGGTATGTGGTATATGTATGTATGTCTCATTTGGTGTACATTCAAAAACTTTTTGTGAATAAATCCTAAGATTTCATGGTTATTTTATTTGAATGCCATCACAATATCCTCCAAAAATTTTGGATGTTTCTCACTAATTTCTTCACCCACCCCTCTTCACTCCCTTCCCCCAAATCAAAGTGAACTCTGAAAGGAAGATGAAAATCTGGTGATTCAAGTAGTCCACACATTCAAAGATTAAATTATTGAAAAGTGATCTTAATTTATAAAATTATACATTTTTTTCTCTCTAAGAGTCTAAGGAAAAATAAATTTAGCAAGCCAGAGAGCAAAATAAAATATCAGTAAATATTTACAAAATTAAAAGTTAAGCTTTTTCAACTTACTGTGCAATCTGGAAGTGGGATATCTTGAGCCGTTGGTCAGCACATTCAATGATTTCTTCATATGATGTAACCTTGAAAAAATAAGCTAAACAAATTATTCTTTGATAAATTCTAGAATTTTTATTTAATTTTTTAAAAAATCTCTACAAGTTGAAGTTCAATTATATGACTCCCGGCAATGAAAGTTTTACAATAAGCAAAACATCCTCCTTATATTTTGAAAACAGAAATAGAAATGGAATTATAATATGTCTATTCATCATGCAGAAAGTGAAGTGTCAAAAAATGGACAACTGTAATGAGTCAACTATGATCTAGCTATCTTCCAGACAACTGATGTATTATCAATCAAGGGATATAGTCCATTTGGTTAAAGTTAAGGCAGTTTTTAAAAGAGATTTTATTTACAGTATATTAAGATATAATTCACATAGCACACAATTGACCCACTCAATGGCTTTTCATGTATTCACAGATGTGTACATTCATCACTGCAATCAATTAGAAAACATCCTCATTACCCCACAAAGAAAACCACATATCCCTTAGCTGTCACTCTCCACTCCCTCCATATCCCCAGCCCTGAGCAACCACTAATCTACTTTCTGTCATAGATTTTCCTATTTTGGATTTTTCATATAAATGGAATGAGATAATATGTGACTGGCTTCTTTCACTTTGCATGGTGTTTCAAAAGATCATCTATGTTGTAGGTCATATCAGTATTTCATTTCCTTTTATTGACAAACTAGTAGCCCAGTGCACGAAATTTGTGCACATTGAAAGGGAATTAGAGGAACGTAATTTGGACTCACTATCTAATATCAATAATATGTGGGTGTGAGGCAATCTGCGTTTCTGAAATTCAATGATATGAATTTTAGCTATTACTTTGCCAAATAAATGGAATTTGCAGATATCATTTAAAAGAGCATTCAGCTTAATATTAAAAACGCTGGCTACCAAGTCAGGTCTGTTTTCAACTTTTTGCCAGTGTTGTAAATTGTTTGCAATAACTGCCCATTTGGGGTTGCATGCCATGATTATGAATAAATCGGACTTGCCATACTTTGTTACAATGGCCATAGCATCCTGATATCGCTGCTGCATATTTTTGGGACTACCCTCAGAAGATGATGGAAGTATTATCATTTTACCATTGATAAAACAGCACATTGTCATTTTCGGATCTAGATTTGAGATAATCCATCAAATCACTATATTTTTCAATGCTCAACTTAGATTAGTTTGCTTTGATGAAATTTATCTGATTGGCCTCCATTTTTTAATATGAATCCACGATAAACTGTTGAGTTAATTTTCCTGCATTTAAAATAGGATTGAACGTGTCCCACACAGAGAGATGAAATCTATAATACTGCATTTGTGTGACTCGTGTCCTTACATTTTGTCTAGTATTATTGTTGATTACACTGTTGTCTCTGAGTCTTAATGCAATATCTGTTCCCCAGCCTTTTTCACCATGTGGAAAAAGAATAGGATATGTCATTGCATCTAATGTAGGAAACAGGATATTGATTTGTTTCATTTTAGTGGCATTTGGATTATTAGGATCTGGTTTACAATGAATGAGCAAGTCCCTTTCAAAAGGAGGTTCTCCATCTTTGTTTCTGAATATGACAGCAATCTCGGTTACAAGGGGAGAATTATATCTACTGGGATCACTGTTACGATTGTATTTAATTGCCATTGTTACTTCTGTGGGAGCAATACCTTTTGCTGCTGCTTCAGATTGGGCTTCCTTTTCTACCTCATGTAGCATCTTGTACAATTTTGTTAATTCATTTATGTCATGCATGAGTTTGTTGATGTTGATCATGAATCTTTCTGAGCAGCCCTGGTTTTCTGGCATTGCTAATCTTTTACTTGTAGCTTCGGCTGTATCCAAAATTTAGAGTTGAGCAAAATTCTGAGAAACACCATCCGAAGGATGTAAAGTTCCAGTACAGTGATAAACTTGTCCGTGTATTCTAAAACAGTACGGCCCATATCCTGATGGCGATGTAATATTTGCACCCATGGAAGCAAAAGCAAAAGAACTATTTATGGAACAAATATTTTCCATGAAATTTTTACTGTCAGAATCTTCATTTGTCATTAATCTTTTTAAATATGCCGGGTAATCTGGAAAATGTATATCATTTGGACAGACTTTCCCTTTGCTACAACATTGAGTAAATTTCCCATCGGATGGTTTTTCATCAGAGAAATTTAGTGATAGGAAAATTCAAATCGAACAGTCATTCCACCACAACTATATTTGAGAATTGCATCCTCATGTACTCCATTTTCGCTGAGAAGGCAGTTCCTACTGGTATTGGTAGTACTTGTTGATGACTGTTCTCTAGACATATTCTGTCATCACCACCGCCTTCTTTCAATTTCAAAGGCACATTGGTCTTTAGACATTTTCTGTCGATAACACCGGTGTTTTTCGGCATCAGAGTGACGTTTTTCCAATAGCTGGTGTTCAGATACATCCTGTCGCAGGTGCCGCCTTCTTTCAAGATCAGACGCATGCTGCTCTGCAGACATTTTCTGTTGATAATGCCAGCATCTTTTGGCTGCAGAGCTATGTTGTATCAACAGTTGTTCTTTAGACATAGTCCCACCTCTCTACTGTCACGGTCTGAGATGCAGGTGAATGAGAGTCCTGGCTATCAGGCCGCTGAGAGCTGTCTGACCAAAGGCTGATTCTGGCTGATTCTGTGGGGGTGGGACTTCCTCCTCCCTGCTATCAGGTTTCCACAGCTGTGATGAGGAAACTGGGGTGAGCCACGCCCTCCAAGCTGCCCTGTCTCTCGTTCTGCTCTATGTCCAGCGGTCTCCTGCTCTGCCAAGTCTTCTAAACCTCCCGCTCTCTGCTGGCAAGGTCCCAGGAGCCCGCAGGCATGGCTAGGCACGGGCGGCCTCGCCTCCCGGACCAGCATAGGTCCTGGGAGCCTGCGGGTGTGGCTATGGCCTCACCTCCCAGGGCCGGCAAAGGTCCTGTGAGCTCACAGCCGCGAGTGCCATCACCTCCTGGGGCACCTGACACCTACGTATGCAAATTAACCACCATCTTTGTTTGGTTAATTTGCATAGTCACTCTGATCTGCTTGTGGGCGTGGCTTGTGGAGGGACGGCTAATTTTCATGTTTCTCTTTTATTATATAGGACTAGAGGCCCAGTGCACAAAAATTTGTGAACTTGGGGGGTCTCTCAGCCCGGCCTGTGTGATCTCGCAGTCTGGGACCCCTCGGGGGATGACCACCTGCTGGCTTAGCCAGGAGATTGGGCCTAAGTTGGCAGTCAGACATCCCTCTGGCAGCCCAGGAGCCCTCAGGGGATTTCCACTTGCCAGGCGGAGCAGGCCTAAGCTGCAGTCGGACATCCTTAGCGCTGCTGAGTAGGCGGGAGAGGCTCCCGCCACCACTGCTGTGCTGGCAGCCATCAGCCTGGCTTGTGGCTGAGCAGAGCTCCCCCTGTGGAAGTGCACTGACCACCAGGGAGCAGCTCCTGCATTGAGCATCTGCCACCTGGTGGTCAGTGTGTGTCATAGTGACCAGTCATTCCCAGTCATTCTGCTGTTGGGTCAATTTGCATATTACCCTTTCATTATATAGGAGTGCCTGGCCAGCCTGGGTGAGGGGGCTGATGGCTGTTTGCAGGCTGGCCACAGCCCCTTCAGGGTGGGGGTCCTGCTGGGGTGCCTGGCCAGTCTGGGTGAGGAGCTGAGGGCCATTTTCAGGCTGGCTAAGCCCCCCAGTGGGGACCCTCACCCCATGAGGGTGTGGCCAGTCTGGGAGAGTGGCTGATGGCTGTTTGCAGGCTGGCTACAGCCCCTTCAGGGTGGGGGTCCCCGCTGGGGTGCCTGGCCAGCCTGGGTGAGGGGCTGATGGCTGTTTGCAGGCTGGCTACAGCCCCTTCAGGGTGGGGGTCCTGCTGGGGTGCCTGGCCAGTCTGGGTGAGGAGTTGAGGGCCATTTTCAGGCTGGCTAAGCCCCCCAGCGGGGACCCTCACCCCATGAGGTGTGGCCATCCTAGGTGAGGGGCTGATGGCTGTTTGCAGGCTGGCCACAGCCCCCAGCCACCTAAGCTCTTGGAAGAGACTGGCTGGAAGCAGGTATCTGGGATTTATTTGTCTTCCATAATTGAAACTTTGTTGCCACGAGCAGAGGCTACAGCCGGCTCATGGCAGGCAGGAAGCTTGGCTTCCTCCATCACCCGGGCAACCAAGCCTCCTGCTTACTCCAGCTCCGTGGCTGCCATCTTGGTTGGGTTAATTTGCATATAGTCGCTTTGATTGGCTGGTGGGCATGGCTTAGGGCGTTGCAAAGTTACAGTCAATTAGTATCTTTGTCTTTTATTAGTGTAGATAATATTGCACCATATGGATATGCCACATTTTATTCATTCATCAGTTGATGGAAATTTGAATTATTTCCACTTTTGGCTATTATGAATAACTAGAGGTCCAGTGCATGAAATTTGTGCACTCTGGGGAGGGGGGAGCTGTTACCCAGCCTGGCCCATGTCCTCTCACAGTGTGGGAGCCCCGTGATCAATCACCCCAAAAAGGTAGGCCCTTTTGGATTGCCCCAAATAGATAGGCTGGAACCGGGGGTCCCGATCCGTGCTGCACGGACCCACAGGACCCCCAGGCCTGGCCACATGGCTCACCATTGGGCCCGCCACATGTCGAGGCCTGGGGGCCGTGCACACAGTGTCAAGTCCCCGCCCAGCTGCATGCGCCTCATCGCACATGCAGGCGTGCCCGCCCGAGTGTGCCCACTGCACACGCAGCCTCCTTATGACGGCGTAAGGGCCTCACGGCGTAAGGGTGTTATGACCACCGAGGCTATTATTATTACAGATGCTGCTATAAACATTTGTGTACAGTTTTTGTATGGACATATGTTTTCATTTATCTTGGGCATATACCCAAGAGTAGAGTTGCTGGATCATATTGTACAGTTTTTAAAATACAGAATTGTGTAAAGGAAAAGTCACTTTTTTTTACATTCAATATTATTTTATATTAGTTTCAGCTGGAAGGCACAGTAGTTAGATAATATATTTTACAAAGTATTCCTCTGATATTTCCAGTGCCCCCCTGGCACCATACATAATTATTACAATATTATTGACTATATTCCCAATGCTAACCTTTACATTCCCATGACTATTTTGTAACTGCCAATCTGTACTTCTCAATTCCTTCATATTTTCTACCCAGTTTCCCAACACCCATCCCCCTCTGGCAACTATTATTATGTTCTTTGTACCTATAAGTCTGTTTCTGTTTTGTGTTTTCATTTATATTGTTCTTTAGATTCCACATATAAGTAAAATCATATGGTATCTGTCTTTCTCTGGCTAACCTATTTCACTTATAATAATACCCTCTAGATTTATCCATGCTGTTGCAAATGGTAAAATGTTATTCTTTTTTATTGCTGAGTAATATTCCATTTTACATTTGTACCACAGCTTTTTTTAATCCACTTTTCTATTGATGAGCACTTTTTTATCCACTCTTCTATTGATAAGCACATTACTTCCATATGTTAATGCAGTTTCTAAAAGTCAAACTAGAACACTGATTTGGGAAGATTTAAAACTTGCCCTCAAAATGAAATAGCAAAGAACTGAAGTTGCTGACAGCAGAAGGATACACACAATGTTCTTTTGCTAAGTTTCAGCTAAAAGGCTAATGGGGATGTTTTATAACGTCATTACGAAGTAAAAGGAAATAAATATAATTGTGTTGTATCCCTCAGACCCTTTCTAGCTCCAACATTCTATTATTTTAATATTTGGCATAGTTTTTAAAGGACTAAGAAAATTTGTACCTTATTTATTAAGTTGCCTAAATGTCTTTGATACTTGTCATTTTCTTCAATGAGTCTGGTGCAGTGGTCTTCTTTAAACTCTAGAAGATTTCCCAATTTTGCAATCTGTGGAGAAACATAAGTAAAAATATTAACCTGGAAACAACCATAAAAGCATGAATGCTAAAAACAAATGGGAACTGTGAGCTATACTTTACTCAAATATTCTCTCAAACTGAGTTGTACCATAGGTGAATCAAGACTTGGCTATAAACCAACACAGACAACAGTATGGTGGTTACCGGAAGGAGAGGAGGGTGCTGGGGAGGTAGAAAAGGATAAAGGGAGTCAAATATATGGTAACAGAAGGAGACTTGATTTTGGGTGGTGAACACACAATGCAATATACAGATGATGTATTATAGAATTGTACACTTGAAACCTATATAATTGTATTAACCAGTGTCACCCTAATTTAATAAAGTTAAAAAAAGAGATGCTATGAACCAGATTCTAGTTAGAATGCATTTAAAATAGACAAGCAGAAATGTTTCAGCTTTTCTCCAATTTAACACTACTTAACAGCTTTGCAAATAAGTAAACACCTGTTGGTGAATATTTATTAGCCCCAAATCTTTACTACCTTCTTTCCAGATGTAACTACTAGAAAGTAAAGCACTGATGATGTGCTTGACGATGCCTTTTCAGGTTTGATAAATATTCTCACTTGCTTAAAAAAAAGTGACTGCTGATTTTTAAAAAAGGTTGAGCTCAAATGTATGTCATATTCTGACCTATGATCCACTTTTTATTTGCAGAAAAACCGTTAAAAATTAAAAACTGTATTCTAAAACTGACATCTAAGATTAATTATAGGAAAGGGTGTTCACAAATTCCCTTAGCAGTTACCTTAATTTTCAAAGCTATTACAGAAGAAAAATGACAGAAATGCTTCCATTAAGAAACAACATTAAGAATGGCCATAAAAAAAAAAGAGAATGGCCATCAATCTTCTAATGTTTTAAATATACTTACATGTCTGTAGTGAAATACTTAAGGAAGCAAAGGCAAAGCAAATATGCTGCAGAAGTAGCAATTAACTTGTTTTTCTTTCTTTCTTATGTAAATGAAGCAACTGGATGATTTCAAATCAGTGGTGCTACTCATCTGACTGCTTGCCTTATTTCAGATAAGGAGTACAGATGTCATTACCTCAATTTAACAGATAAAACCAAGGTGAAGAGAATTTAAAAGATTTTTGAAAGGATATATCTAAAAGTGGAAAATATTTATCACCAATTAGCATAAGGCCTTTTCTATTCTGTGCCTTTGCATTGCATCTCCTCACTCCTAGAGGGTGGCGTTCCACTCTGAGCTTCACACAATTCATGATGCTTTACTGAAGCAACATAGAATTCCTCCTTGTCTGTTTTCTATTATAGACTTCCTGGCATATTTTTAATTTCTTTAATGGTTTTTCCAGATCAAAAGTAATAACCCTTATAAGACCTCAGATTAAAGAAAGAAGAGCAAAATTTCTTAAAGGATATTTATTTTTGAGATAAAGGGATAGCTCTGTAAAACAGTTTTTAGATGATAATGAAAAGGAATCTAAAATTTTGTTTCTGCTGGAGTGTAAAGTTCAACTGCTTTAAGAATATAACGGACATACAATAAACTTCACATTTTAAAGAGTACAATTTGATAAGTTGTTTAATATATATAATTGATTACAGAGAGGAAGGGAGAGGAAAAAAGATAGAAACATCAATGATGAGAGAGAATCATTGATCGGCTGCCTCCTGCACACCTCACATAGGATCGAACACACAATCCGGGCATGTGCCCTGACTGGGAATCGACTGTGACCCCCTCATTCACAGGTTGTGCTGGCCAGGCTAATTTGATAAGTTTTTACATATATATGTAACTATGAAACCATCACCACAATCAAGATAGTGAACTTATCCATCACTGCCCCTCCCACCAAAGTTTCCTCTTGCTTCTTGGTAATCCCTCCTTCCTGCCAGCCTGACACCCACACTCTATGCTAGCCCAGGCCAATGCTGATCTGCTGTCTGTCACCATTGATTAGATTGTATTTTCTAGAGTTTTATATAATGGGACCAAACAGTATTTACTCTTGTCTGGGTCTTTCACTCAGCATAATTATTTTGAGATTCATCTAGATTGCTTGTGTATAAGTAGTTCATACTTTTTGAAAAAGATTAATGAGGACCGGCTGGCATGGCTCAGTGGTTGAGCATCGACCTATGAACCAGGAGGTCACAGTTTGATTCCTGGTCAGGGCACATGCCCAGGTTGCTGGCTAATCCCTAGTGGGGGGCATGCAGGAGGCAGCTGATCGATGATTCTCTCGTCATTGATGTTTCTATCTCTCTCTCCCTTCCTCTCTGAAATTAATAAAAAAATATATTTAAAAAAATTAATGAATATGTCATTGTATGTCTATCCATTCATCTGTTGTAGACATTTGCATTCCCTTCAGTTTTTGGCTATTACAAATAACACTGCTAGGAACTTGCATGTACAACTCTCTGTAAACATATGCTTTCATTTCTCTTGGGTAAATACCTAGGAGTAGAATGATGGCAGATGTATGTTTAACATTTTAAGAAACTGCCAAAATATTCTCCAAAGTGTTTGTACTAGTTTATACTCCCTCTAGCAGTGTATGAGAGTTGCAATTGCTTCACATCTCCACCAATCCCAGGTATGATCAGTCTTTTTTTTTTTTTTTTTTTTATTTTAAGATCAGGAGGTGAAAGGTTCAGCATAACCATCCATAGGGTTGAAGCTAGAGAGGAGCTCTCACACCCACCTCCAGGGTCTGGATTCTATTGAGACTGGTTATTGCCCCAAACATTCCTTCCAGCTTTTCACTCAACTGGAGCACCTGCTTTCCGTCCCAAGTTAACATCTTCCTCTGTACCTCATGGGTTCCACTGACTGATCAAACTGTGATATTTGTCATCCACTCTCCCAGCTACTTATTTCTCAACTATGACCCCTTCATAATCTTCCCCCCCCCCCCGCCCCGCCCTGCCTGCCCAAATCCCAGGAATGTATTTTGTATCATCTTTTAAAAAAATCTTTTGACTACCATCACTTATTTCTCCCTCTGTTCCCACAACCACCAACAACCTGTTCTTTGTATCTGAGCTTGGTTTTGTTGTTGTTGTTTTTTAGATTCCTCATATAAGAGAAATCACATGGCATTTATCTTTCTGTCTGACTCATTTCACTTAGCATAATGACCTTGTGGATCACATAGTATTTCTATTGTTAAATTTTGAGGAATCTTCATACTGTTTTCCATAGTGGCTGCACCAATTTACATTCCCATCAACAATGTAAAAGGATTCCCTTTGCTCTACATCCTTGACAACATTTGTTGTTTCCTGTCTTTAAAAAAAATTATCTTTATTGTTGAAAGTATTACAGATGTCTCCATTTCTCCCCATTGTCATTATTATTATTTTTTTGAAATCGTGCCCTAGCTGGTTTGGCTCAGTAGATAGAGCGTTGGCCTGTGGATTGAAGGGCCCTGGGTTCGATTCTGGTCAAGGGCACGTACCTTGGTTGCAGGCTCCTGGCCTTGGGCAGGGGCATGTGGGAGACAACCAATTGATGTATCTCTCTCACATCGGTGTTCCTCTCTGTCTGTCTCTCTCCCTTCCACTCTCCCTAAAAATCAATGGAAGAAAATGTCCTTGGGTGAGGATTTTAAAATAAAATAAAATAATAAAAAAATCATTATTGTTGAAATTATTACAGATGTTCCCCCCCTCCACTGACCCATTCTAGCTGTCCTGTCTTTTTTTTTTTTAATATCTTATTGATATTTTTACAGAGAGGAAGGGAGAGGGATAGAGAGTCAGAAACATCGATGAGAGAGAAACACCGATCAGCTGCCTCCTGCACAATCCTCACTGGGTATGTGCCCACAACCAATGTACAAGCCCTTGACCGGAATCGAAACTGGGACCCTTGAGTCCATAGGCTGACGCTCTATCCATTGAGCCAAACCGGTTAGGGCTGTCCTGTCTTTTTTTTAACAGCCATTCTAACAGGTGTGAGGTGATATCTCATTGTGGTTTTGATTTGCATTTCCCTGAAGATTAATGATGTTAAATATCTTTCCATGTACTTGTTGGCCATCTATATGTCTTATGTGCAAAAATGTCTATTCAGATCTTCGGCCCATTTTTAATTGAATTTTTTTTGGCTTGGATTTGTATGAGTTCCTCATATATTTTGGATATTAACCCCTTATCAGAACATGATTTGCAAATATTTTCTCCCATTTAGTAGGTTGCCTTTTCATTTTGTTTGATGGTTTCCTTTGCTGTGTAGCAGCTTTTTAGTTTGATGCAGTCCACTTATTTATATTTTGCATTTGTTGCTTTTACTTTTGGTGTCAGATTTAAAAAATCATCACCAAGACCTATGTCAAGGAACTTATTGCCTATGTTTTCTCCTAGGATTTTTATTGTTTCAGTTACTATTTTCAAGAATTTAGTTCATTTTGCCCTAGCTGGTTTGGCGCAGTGGATAGAATGTAGGCCTGCGGATTGAAGGGTCCCAGGTTTGATTCTAGTCAAGGGCACATGCCCAGGTTGTGGGCTTTTTTTCTTTTAAAATATATTTTTATTTATTTCAGAGAGATGGAGGGAAAGGGAACTTTGATTCCTGACTGGGAATAGAACCATGACCTCCTGGTTCATAGGTCGACACTCAACCACTTGAGCCACCATGGCCAGGCTTTATTGATTTTTAGAGAGAGAGGAAGGGAGAGGGATAGATAGAAACACTGATGAGAGAGAAACATCATTGATTGCCTGCCTCCTGCACATCCCCTGCTGGGGATCAAGCCCACAACCCTGGCATGTGCTTTGACCAGGAATTGAACCTGCAACTTCTTGGTGCATGGGTCAATGCTCAACCACTGAGCCACACAAGCCAGGCTCTTCACATATCTATATAAAAGCCTAAGTGACCATCACAACTGAAACAACCGAATGGATGACTGAACAGGCTGTGTGGGGCGACCAGGCTGGAGGAGGTTAGTGAGGGGCGACCAAACGACCGAGCAGCAGGCTGCG